CCCAAAGGGGTCCCGCTGATGCAGCGTGGCTTGGCCTGGCTCCACGGTACCACACGGCAAAGGTCAGGTGAGGATATGGCTTGGGAATACAGGGAGGGAGCGGGGGACTCCACAGGAGCTGCTGGGGGTGCTGGGTCCCCCGGACAGCTCCAGCCCCGGTGGGTCGGCTCTGCCCCGTGTCCCCTGTCCCTGCCTGCCCCGGCAGCCCTCAGGCTCAGCCCGGCGCCATCCCAAGGGACTGAAAAGTTTCCTTTTCGTAAAAATAAAAGCATCACAGTGGAGCCCCTGCTGCCTCTTGAAAGCTGCATTTAAGCTGCTTCCTGCAGCCCCAGGGGACAGCGCTGCGCGGTGACTCAGGCTGCCAGAGCCCAGCCAGCCTCCAGTGCGGATTTCACCCCTCCCTGGAGAAGGGTCTGCCAGGGACAGGCATCCGGCGCACCTGTACCTGTGCTGGGCACAGGGGCAGCATCCCCCAAAAGTGCCTTGGGATTTGGGGAATGGTGCTGTGGGTGTGCAGCTGTGGTGGGCACCTGTTATCCAGCTGTGGTGGACACTGGGAGACCAAGCTGTGGTGAGAGGTGTATGTCCAGCTGTGATGGGCAGTGGACATCCAGCTGTGATGGACACCAGCTGTGATCCAGCTGTGGTGAGCGATGTCTGTCCAGCTGTGGTGGGCAGCAGCTATCCAGCTGTGCTGAGTGCTGCTCTGCAATGGCTCCATCCCATCCCAGGCACCTCTTAGCCCCAGGCAATCCCTTTCCCTGTACAACGAGCTTCCCGGTGCATTATTTATACAGTCCAGATCGATGGGAAGATGATAACGGCTTCATTAGCATCTGAGCATCGCCGGCCCCAGCGCCTGACACGACCTTGGCTGCAGGAGTACAAGATTTCCCTGTCAGGAGCAGCTCCCCGGTGTCACCGTCATCACCAGACGCAGCCAGGGCTGCCGTGGCTGCCCCGGAAGGGTCCCCACCCTGGCACATGCCGCCGTGGGGTCCCCATCCTAGCAGTGAGGATAAGACACCCCCATGCCAGGGCTCCTCGTGCAGTGCCCGTTGTTTGCGTGGCGCTCGTTAGCAGGGATATAATTAAGAGCAGCTATTTTGGATGCTTCCTTCATCCGGCAGCTCCCAGCGATGCCGCTGCAGGATCCTCCCCCCTGTCTCTGAAACAGGCGCTTGCCTTGAATGCCTTCCCTGTGGATATTGGCTGCTCGTGGGGTCCTGTTGTGTTTGTGGGGGGCACACGCAGGGGTCCGGCTGCCCACGTGAGCTGGGGAGTGGGGAAGCAGCAGGGATGGGGCTGGAGGGGAGCAGGGTCACCGCAGAGGGGAGAGGGAAGGGATGGAGAGGAGGGTTTGGGGGGTTCTCCCGGCTGATCCGCTGCCGCCGTGCTGGGGAGGGGGCAGCAGTGCTTTCCCCTCATTAAGTAGATGTTGATTTAGCGGAGGCTGGAGCCATCTGCTTGGAGCAGCCGCCTGCTGCCTGCCGGGGGGAGCCGGGTGAGGATGTGCTTCGTCAGCGGGGGCTTGGCCGGGAGCCCCCACGCTCGGGCCGGGCATCGATCGCTGCTGGCACCGCGCTGGCTGCAGACGCAGGGGCTGCTGCATGGGCACGTGAGGGGGTGCTGGGAAGGGAGAGGAGCCCCCTGAGGAGTCCCACCATGTGGGGCCGTGGCCTTGGACAGGGGGCAGCCGGGCACAGGGGTTTCACTGCAGCATTGGGGTGCCCAGAGCTGTGCTTGGCCACTGGGGTCCCACCATGGCATACACTGGTCACCCGGGCACTCCATACAGCGTGTTCTGGGATACCTGGAGCAGTGACTGGCACAGTGCTCTCCCCGTGGCATGTACTGGGACTCCTGCTTGGGCATGGGGTCTCCTCATGTTTGTACATTGCAGTGCCCAGAGCTGTGGCTGGCACAGAGGTCTCCTCATGGCCATGCATTGCAGTGCCCAGAGCTGTGCTTGGCACGGGGGTCTCCATGTGGCCATGCATTGCAGTTCCCAGAGCTGTGGCTGGCACGGGGGTCTCCTCATGGCCATGCATTGCAGTGCCCAGAGCTGTGGCTGGCACGGGGGTCTCCTCATGTCGTGCTCCAGGACACCCAAAGCAGCTGCCAGGCACAGTGCCAGGAGGCACGGTGACACATGTCTGGACCCTGGGGTGGGCAGAGCGGGCTCCCCGTGCACAGCCCCTGCACGTGCCAGCGGCTCGTGCGTCGCCCGCGCCGCGGTGCCCGCCGGGGCCGTGGCTGCCGCAGGGCCGGGGGAACCGGGGCCGGCGAGGAGCTCTCGGCACGCGGAGCGCGGGGCTCCAGCCAAACGTGATCTAGCTGCTGCAGTCGCTGTGTTCCAGCGAAGCATTTCTGGTGTCGGAGGCAGGGCCGCTCCCCCGGCGGGGCTCGCTCCGGCAGGCGCCGTTGGCACACCTGCGGCTCCCGGGGCACACCGCAGCCACGGGGGATAGCTGCACCCCGTGGTGCCGGGGCCTGTGTGTGCCCCCCTTTCCTGGGGCTGCCATCGTGGGGTGCAAACTGATCTGAGAGTGGTGGAGAGCTGGGCCATGAGACGTCAGTGATCTCACATGGCACAACCTGAGCAGCCCATGAGCAGCCAAGAGGGGACATTGGGGTGTCCCAAGGATGGTGGTGGGGGCTGTCTGAGCAAAGATGTGCCACCCCTGCAGCAGCACCTTCCTGATGGCACCTGGGTGGAGAGGGCAGGATGGTGACCGCAGGTGCTCGGTGGTCCCTGCCACCCCTCCAGTGACCCCAGCAGAGAGGACAGCCAGGGACACAGGGGGTGCTCCCTGGCAGTGTGGCCATGAAGGAGCTCTGCTCTCCTCCCCACCGTGCCCATCCCCTTTTGTAGCCAGTATTTTTAATTGGAAGCACTCATCTCCCTTCTCTCTCCCTTGTTAGTGGAAGAATGTTCCTTGTCATTAATTCCCAGCCATTAATGAGCTCTCCTGGCTCTTGTTACCCCCAGACAGGCTGCAAATCTCACTGTAGACCTGGTGACCAGGGCACCCATCCTCGTCTCCTGCTCTGGGAACCGGGGTTTTTCTGAGACCCCAGCTGGGCTCCGTGCTCCAGCTGCCTTCAGCATGCTGACGGCCACTTCCAGAGCTTTAAGGAAAGTCAAACCACTGCATGGCTGGAAGTCACTGACTAAGCACTTGGCACGGGCAGTGATGGAAGTGCTAAACAGATTTTGGCAGCCGCAGCCTCTCCTGCAGGTGCAGGGAGGAGAAATTTGCCTCTACGGTGCGTTGGGGCGAGGGTGGTTCGGTGATGCCGAGGGTGGCACGTGCCTGGGCACCCCGCTGCCCGGGCATTGCCCCATCCCAGCCCCTCGCTGGGATCAAGCCGTGGGAAAAGCCAGGCACCGCAGAGCTGCTGACAGCCGTCCGTCAGTCCGTCTGTCCGTCCGCAAGGAGCCATTAGCGGGAGCGGGGCCCGTCTCGGGGCCGGAGGTTGGAGCCAGTGCCGGGCACGGTGCCGCTGCTGCGCCCACGGCTCCTTTTGTCCGCTGGCCTTTGCATCCCTGGGGGCAGCTCGGCCCCTTCTCCTGGGAGCTGGCTCTTGGCGCGGGGCGGCAGCGGAAGCGGCGCTGGGCTCCTCTCCACCACGGCTCAATGGCACCTTTGTTGGGGACGCTGGCGGCAGCACGGGGCTGCCGGGGACTGGGTCAGCCCTGGTGTCACAGGGGCTCTGCCCACCAGTAACGTGCAGCTCTACCCATGGGCGTGCTATGGCAGGGATGGGATGTGGGGGATTCTGTGGCATTCCTGTCCCTCCCTACGCCCTGGGGACACCTGGTGTCCCCGTCCCTCTCCAGGCGCCCTGCAGTGCTCCTTCTCATCCCACATGAGGCACCTCAGCTGGGAGGAGAGCCTGGGGACCTGGTGGTTGCTGTGGCTGATAGAACCCGTCCTCTGCAGCTGTCACCTGTCACAGCAGGCTGTGTCAGCATTAGCAAACGTCCTGCAGCTCTGACAGCCTGGGGTGCAGGAGGGAGCCAGCTCTGGGTGCCAGAGCCTCTGTCCTGGCCACTCCTGGGCCCATCTGTGCTGCGTGGCCTGGGCAGGGCTGGCTCAGCCGCCCCTCCTGCTGCTGGTGCCCTCTGAGCCCTGTTTGTCCATGCGGAGGCTCCTGGGCTGCGGCACAGCCCTTGTGTCCAACAATTCAATAAACACAGGGACACTGACAGGGGATGTGGTAGAGGGGAGAGAGCAAGGCCATGGCCAAGGTGCACAGGGAGTGCCTCTCTGGCCCCACATTCCCCTTCTCTGCCTGAAGTGGCTCCTTCCAGCTTCTCCCAACTAGATCTTGTCCCTGGCTTCGAGTGCCTTTGCCCATTCTCCCTGCCAGGCCATGCAGCCTTTGGGTCCTGTCCCATGGACTCAGGGCTGTGCTGGAGCTGTGCTCACTGTGTTGGGCTCTGCCGTGCTGCTCCCACCCTCCTCTTCCTTCTCCTGCTCCTGCTGTGGGAAGAGCAGCTCACTGGAAAGCCTGAGTGGCATTTTTCGGGTAAATCTTATGTAAATCTGGCTCCATCCTTCCTCGTGCTGCTAATTGGATTGCCCCGGCGTGGTTTAATTTCCCAGAAGTGTGGGGAGGGCAGTGCCAGGGGGGTGGGGGTACAGGGGAACGTGCTGGGCTCTGCCTGCCAGGGGCTGCACGGGGCCGTTCTGGAGCCTCAGCCAGGTGGAGCAGCCGGGGGGGAACCCCAGGGAAACCAGGGGAGAATGGGCAGAACCTGGTGCCAGGAGGAGCCCCCGGGCTCTGCCACCTTCAGCAGGGACCCCCCACCCCTGAGCCTCCTGCCTGCAGGTTCAGGTTCAGATTCAGCCTCACACAGCACCTGTGGAGCCGCAGGGAGCCCCAGCTTTGGTAGGCAGGGAAACCTGGAGCTGCCACCACGTCACCTCCCTGGTGTGCCTGTGTCCCTGAGCCACCTCCTCTAACACCCTGTCCCCTTCCCTCCCTTCCAGAGCTCCTCGGATCAGCAAAGAAAGTCAATGTCAACTTCCAGGACACGGACGGGTGAGTGGAGCCCGAGCCCGGGTGTGGGTGCTGTGGGGTGCCGTGAGCAGGGAGTGTCTGTGTGGGAATGCCAGGCTCTCCAGCTGCCAGCTGTGGCCCCCGTTAGCCCACGGGGCTGAGCCCTGCCTGCCCCCAGAGCCGGCGCTGGCCTGGAGCAGCCAGGGCACCGGCGGAGGCAGAGGCAGGGCTGTGCCCCACATCTCACCACGCTTTTCCCAGCCCTCTGGGGCTCCTCGGGAGCTCAGCCCTGTGGGGTGCCGGGTGGGAGAGCCGTGACCCCGCCAGGCACCGGTGGCACTCCACAGCCACATCCAACGGGCGGCAGCGGCAGAAAGGGGCCGCAGAGCACCCCTGCTAATCACACTAATGAGGCTGCAGGGAGGCAGCGGGGCCCCGTGCAGGGGGGCTGCACTGGGAGTGCTGCTTGTGGGGCTGGGCAGCAGCTGCCCCCCGCTCCCCCTGCCCTGAAATCCCCCTTGAGTGGGGCAGCAGCACGATGTGATGCCACTTGTCCCCTTGGATGGCTCTGGCGTGCCAGGGAAATGCCAGGGAGAGAAGCAGCTGGTCAGCAACGGGACACCACGGCCCGGGGGTGTATAGCCACAGCAGCCGGGCTGCCACCTCATCCTTGCCATCAGGATGATGGCAGTGGGCATCCCCTGGCACCTGCCAGCTCATCGCTGTGCTGGGGGCAAGGGGGCATCACCCCAGGGACCACCTCGTGCTCTGCAGAGCCAGCAGGCCACGGGAGGGCTGAGCATCATGGCAGGGCTGGGGAGCTGCAGGCAGAGCCCGGCTGGAAGGTTCAGAGGGTGCTGAAGCACGAGGGGAGCAGCCTTCAGCGCTGCTCCTGGAAAGGATCCCCCGGGATCCAGGCTGCAGCTCTGTGTGAGCTCAGCCAGCCCCGTGCCTCAGTTTCCCCATGCCGGCAGTGCTGGTTTGCTCCCGGCTGGGGGTGCCGGGGGTGAGCACCGTGCTGGTGTCCCCGTGCTGGCCCCGGTGCCCTGCTCGTGGCCGAGGTGGCCGGCTGGGCCATGAGGAGCCCGAGAGAAGCCCCCGAGGCAGCCCCGGGGCAGGCTGCGATTTGCACCATCTTGAGCGGGTTTGAGCAGGGCGCTGGAGCGGAAAATGTTGACATTTCCCAGGCAGACGCTGGGGATCGGCCTCCTGTGCAGGCTGTCTGCTCGCATCGCCGCTCCCCGCCGGGGATCGCGGCCGGCAGCTCCGCGGGCACGGCCGTGCCTGCGGACTGCTCCCCGCGGGACGTGTCCCCTCAGCCAGGGGCTGGGGAAGAGTGCCGGGGGGATTGTCACCCACACCTGCCCCTCGGGCACCGGGCAGCCAGAGGGGCCAGTGTGTCCTGGGGGCTCTGTGGCCTTTCCCATGCTCCGGTGACAGCGGGGCAGCCCTGGGGAGGGGATGGGGATGGGGTGTTCCCGAGGAGGGGATGGGGATGGGGTGGCCCCGAGGAGGGGATGGGGATGCGGTGTTCGCGAGGACGGGATGGGGCGGGGTGGCCCTGGGAAGGGGATGGGGACGCTGTGCCCGGCCAGGGCCCGGAGCAGCGGCGCGGTGGGTGCCGGCACGGTGGGTGCCAGCGCAGCCGCACGGAGGATGCCGCTGCCGGGAGCACAAGTAGGTCAGCTGCTGGCCTGCTTCCCAGGCTCCGGGAGCTGCGAGAGCGGAGCGGGTGCGGGGCCGGGGGCTTTCCCCAGCCCACAGGCAGGCCCGGCACCGGGCAAGGCAGCGCTGCCATCTGTGCTCATGGCCGCGCTGCTGGGGCCAGCCTGGGGGAAGTGGGTCAGTGGGGAGGGGGCTCCCCGGCACCCCCAGCCTCGGTGCCTGCCCTGCCCAGCACCCCCAGCCCGGCGGGGTCTCAGCATTGCCAGCCCCGCAGCAGCTCTCGCCCCAAAACCCACAGAGGGGTCTGGGGGTGGCTTTCCCTGGGACACGTGCACGTGGAGGGCATAGCAGGTGCCCGGGGTGCTGCAGAGGTGCAGGTTTGAGGCCATGGTGCTGGGCAGGGTTGGCAGGGCGGTGGAGGGGACAGGCCAGTGGTCCCTGACACCAGCCCCACCCCCAGGTTCTCGGCTCTGCACCATGCGGCTCTTAACGGCAACACAGAGCTCATCTCGCTGCTGCTGGAGGCACAGGCTGCCGTGGACATCAAGGACAACAAAGGCGAGTGCCCGGCTCCTGGGGACCCCCTGCCCCGTGCCCCCCTGCCCCGTGCCCCCCGCAGGCTCTGCGTTGGCACACGGAAGGCTCATGGCTTCTTGCCCCTGCAGGCATGCGGCCCCTGCACTACGCGGCCTGGCAGGGCAAGAAGGAGCCCATGAAAATGGTGCTGAAGGCAGGTTCCTCTGTGAACATCCCGTCGGACGAGGGCCAGATCCCCCTGCACCTGGCAGCACAGCACGGGCACTACGACGTGGTACGGAGAGGCACGGGGCTGGCGGGGGGCTGCCACCCCTCTGCCCCTGCCCTCACCGGGTCGGGGTCTTCCTTGTCCCCAGTCGGAGATGCTCCTGCAGCACCAGTCCAACCCCTGCATCATGGACAACTCGGGGAAGACGCCCCTGGACCTGGCATGCGAGTTTGGCCGGGTCGGGGTAAGTTCTGGCAGGGCTGGGTGTCCCCAGAGGAGGACTGGGAGGGGACAGGGGCGCTGTCAGGTCCCGGGGGCAGGGACAAGGACACTGTGAGGTCCTCGGGGGAGGGACAGGGACACTGTGAGGTCCTCGGGGCAGGGACAGGGGCACTGTGAGGTCCCCAGGGACAGGGGCACTTTGAGGTCCCCAGGGCAGGGACAGGGGCACTTTGAGGTCCTCGGGGCAGGGACAGGGACACTGTGAGGTCCTGGGGGTGCTGGAGCAGCTGGAGGGGCACAGGATGGCCGGTGCTGGGGTGTGCAGTGCCACCACTGCAGGCGAGCTCTGGCTGCTGGCAGGGGGGGAGGTGGGGCCGGGGGCTGCAGCCCCGGGGGGCGGCCGAGCCGCCCTTGCAGCCCTGCTCCGTCTGTGTTTGCTGAGCCAGGTGGTCCAACTGCTCCTGAACAGCAACATGTGCGCGGCACTGCTGGAGCCCAAACCGGGGGACACCACCGACCCCAACGGCACCAGCCCCCTGCACCTGGCCGCCAAGAACGGCCACATCGACATCATCCGGTGGGTGCCGCGGGCAGGGGTGGCAGCACCAGTGCCCCCCCGTGCCCCGCTGACCCCGCTGTCCCCCCGCAGGCTCCTGCTGCAGGCTGGCATCGACATCAACCGGCAGACCAAGGCGGGCACGGCGCTGCACGAGGCCGCGCTCTGCGGCAAAACGGACGTGGTGCGGCTGCTGCTGGATGTAAGGGCCCCCCTCGGCACCCCCAGATGCCCCCAGGCACCCCCAACCCAGCCGGGGGCTGTGGGAAGGGGGTGAGCCCACAGCTGGGGGCTCAGAGCAGCCTGTGCAGCTCTCCCAGGCAGCAGAGCTGAGGGTCCTAGAAGGGATACACCAAGGCACGGAGGGTCCTGGGGGGTGCACACCAGGGCTGAGGGTCACAAGGGGGGTACACACGAAGGTCTGAGAGCTGTGCCCTCCAGCTGTTGGTCTGCTGGTGGCCTAGGGAGTCCCAGGGGTGGCAGGATGGGGACCAGCCTCCTCCCAATCCCTCTCGGTGCCGTTGCAGAGCGGGATCAACGCCCACGTCAGGAACACCTACAACCAGACGGCTCTGGACATCGTCAACCAGTTCACCACCAGCCAGGCCAGCAAGGAGATCAAGCAGATGCTGCGGGGTAGGGGGTTGGAGGGCACGGAGTGGCCGTGCTGGCACGAGGGGCGCCGGGCTGGGGGTGCCACCCCCCGTGGGGTGGGCGGCCGGTGACGCTCCCGTTCTGCCCCGCAGACGCCTCCGCAGCTCTGCAGGTCCGGGCCGTCAAGGACTACTGCAACAACTACGACCTGACCAGCCTCAACGTGAAAGCCGGGGACGTCATCACCGTGAGTGTGGCCGGGGGGGCCGGGGACACCCCGGTGGCAGTGGCGGCCCCTGGCCCGGCCCCTGACCCGGCCCCTCCCGCAGGTGCTGGAGCAGCACGCGGACGGGCGCTGGAAGGGCTGCATCCACGACAACCGCACGGGCAACGACCGCGTGGGCTACTTCCCCTCCAGCCTCGTCGAGGCCATAAGCAAACGAACAGGCAAATAATCCCCCCCTACACCCCCGGCCCCGGGGAGCCCCGTCTGGCTTTGGTGGGGACCGGGGTGTCGGGGGCTGCAGCGGTGAAGACAAAGCGGGGCCATGGCCCTCGTGCATGTGGGGTCGGTGTCCCCGCCGTGTGCATGGGGACGGTGCCTGAAAGTGTGTGGGGTCAGCGTCCTCATCGTGCCTGGGGGGCTGGTGCTCCCATTGAGTGTGCAGGGTCTGTGTTCCCGGTGTGTCTGTGGGGTCGGTTTCTTGGGGGGTGTGAGGGTCAGCCCTGGGGTGCTCGAGGGTCAGCTCTGGGGTACTCGAGGGTCAGCCCTGGCTGCCCTTGGGCTGGGGGAGGTGTTTGAGGTGCATGAGGAGACCCAGGGGTGTCACTGTGGTTTGGAGGGATGGGCACAGCAGTGGGGTGGCAGGAGCTGGTGCTCAGGGTCTGTGCAGGGGCTGGGCACCAGTGCCAGGGAGGTGATGCTGCCACACAGAGACCGTCTTTCCAGCCAGGGGCCATCTCAGGGATTGGCCCCTGCTCCCCTGCCCTGTGGCCTGTTCCTGTCCCCATTCCCATTGTGATCCCTTTAGGCCCCTGTGCAGCCCCTTGCGATGTCCCTGGGCCGTGCCCTCGGCCAGGAGAGTCCCAGTGGGGCTGGTGCCTCTGCAGGCAGCATTGAAAGACCCCACATCAATCATCTCACCCCAGCCCTGGGACCGGACCTTGGGGACAGCCACACCATGGGCACATGGGCAGGGCATGGTGGCACTTGAGCAATGTCTCAGGAGAGTGGCAGCACAAGTACCTGCCGGGCAACCCACAGCGTCCCTGGAGGCACCTGGTGCTGGACAGGCAGGGACAGAGCCACCCTCCAGGAACGGGGTGTGTGCCAGTACCAGAGATGCCATCCATGTCTCCTGGGCTGTGTTCTGTGGCTCCTGGGCTGCGGCTGGCCCACAGCAGTGCTGGCCAGGCTGGGGAGTTCTGTAGCCACCGCTCTGGCTGCGCTGGGGCAGCAGCGTGGGGTGGAGGTGCCATGTCACAGCTCACCCCCCGGACACGGGGGTGCTGCAGCCCCAGCCCGGCCCTGCGGGGAGCAGGACCCCGGCAGCCTGGCTGTGCCACCCGGTGAAGCCTGGCTGTGCCACCCGGTGAAGCCTGGCTGTGCCACCGGGTGAAGCCTGGCTGTGCCACCCGCTGAGCTGATCCGCGGGGCTGTGCCAGTGTCCGTGCCGGCTCGGCGGGATGTGCCCGCTGCCTGCGCCGGGCTGTGCGTGTGCTGAGCTCCCGCCGCCGCTCCTCGGCTCCGCCCTGCATCGCCTGGGTCTCGGTTCTGGCTTCTCCACGTCCCTTTGGTCGCTTTTTTGATTTGCTGCCTTTCCCCCCCTTTTTTTGGTGGCACTGAGCGTGTCTCTATTATTTGGATTCTTTTCATTTTGTCTCTTGTTATGTTTTATTATCAGGTTCATGGGAGACTGTAACAATCCCCCAACACTTCCAAAAGATCCCGCTCCCGGCTTACGGGGCTGCTGTGCTAAACGGTGACGCCTCGTCCCATCCGTTCCATTCCCTGCCTCCACCTCCACCTCCACCACCACATTCCCATCAGACTCTTTTCAGTTCCTTTGGCTATCACAGGCTCTCCCCTAGCAGTGCCGACGAGCCGCGTTACGGACAAGGTAGTTCACCGCTCGCTTCGTGCTCTCCATGGATTTTCCTTCCTTTTCCTTTAAAGCGTGTGTCGAGTCTTTTCTCTCTGCTCGGCCTCTCCCCCTCACCGGGGGCTGTGTGTGCATGCAGCTGTGCATGCGCCTGCATGCGTGCGGTGGGGGCAGCGGGGGGGCTCGGGTGGCACACGCGTGCCATCGCTGCCCCCGCTCCGGCTCCGCTGGCACACCGTGTGCCAAGGCACAGCCACCTTCCCCACCCCGCTGTCCCCGTGGTCCCTGCGCTCCTGTCCGGGTGCGTGGGCACCCCCAGGACACTCAGAGCCCTGTGCCAGGGCAGGGCTGGCAGCGCGGTGCCACGGGCTCAGGGATCCTCTGCTGCCCACAGCCTCCCTGCAGGGCCCAGCTCTGCCCAGGTCGTGGCTGTGCACGGGGGGCTGGAAGGGGCTGCGGCTCTGGGGGCTCTCCCAGGGGATGCTCTCGGGGCTGGCTCAGCGCAGGCAGAGCCCAGCTGAACCCTGGGGACCGTCCCCAGGACACAGGCAGGTGATGATGCTGCAGGGCCGTGCGTCAGGAGCACCCAGGAGCAGGGGGTTGCAGGGGTGCACTCCTCGATGGCTGGGGCCAGGGGGCTTTGCACATGCCCTGGTGGCGGCGGCTAAGGAGGTTGTGCTGGGGGCACTGGGTGGCCGTGCTGGCACTGGGGACAAGGGAGCACTTCTTTTCCCTGGGGCTTTCTCTCCTGCTGGGGTGGCATGGAGCTGCACAAGCCCAGGCTCCTCTTGGTGTGAGCGTGGCGTGCGCAGCTCAGGGATGTCCCAGCCTGATTTGGTGAGGCTGTTTGTCCCCTGTTGTGCTCCTTCCGTGCATTTATCACCTTGTGCCACCTGTCCCCTGCTACTGTTGGCGCTGCTGGAGTGAGCAGCTCCGTGAACAGAGCTGGGCAGTGGGGTGACAATGTCCCACAGCTGGTGCTGCTGGAGTGAGCAGCTCTGTGAACAGAGCTGGCCTGGTTGGCAGTGGGGTGACAATGTCCCACAGCTGGTGGCAGGGTGGCAGTACCCCGTGGCTGGCAGTGAGGTGGTAACACCCCATGGATGGTGGTGGGGTGGCAGTGCCCCGTGGCTGGCAGGACAGTGGTGGAGCCGTGGTGGGGCCATGGCAGCACTGGCCTTGTAGGGCTGTTGTCTGTCTCACCTGATGCTGTTTTCTCTCCTGGGTGTCCCTCGTGCAAGTGGGACCTGGCAGAGGTGGCCAGCACAGTGAGCTGGTGAGGAGCCATGCCCTGGGGTGACCCTCAGGCTGTGCCCCAGAGGAGGTCCAGGTCCTCTCATCCACTGCTGTGTCCCCTGTGTGTCACCAGGGTTTCAGCACCTGGTGCCTGGCCCTGCATGTCCCCTGTGTCCCCACAGATGAGTGCAGGCAGCTGCAGGGACATGGCCAGCACTGCCTGGGACAGGGGACAGTGGGGTGGGAACCCTGCTTCCCACTGCTTGAGTTTGCCCAGCTCCCTTTGTTCCTGCACTGGGTCATGTCCCCATCCTGTCCTGTGAAGGGATGACAAAGTCCTTGTCCCTTGTCCAGGCTCAGCCAGGGCACTGGAGCACCCCACCATGGGTCTGTCCCTGGCTGGCAGTGAGGAGGGGCTGCTCTGCACGACGGGGCCAGGGCTTGTCACTGTCACCTCTGCCATCTTGGCATGGGACAGGGCCCTAGGATGGCTCTGGCATCCCTGGGCACGGACACAGCCAGGGTCCCCACACCTCCCCTGTGGGGCTGTTCCCACGTGCAGCAGCGCCAGTCCCGGGGCCGCGGTCACCTCCCCGTGCCACACCCGTGCGAGCCCGGCCGCAGAGCCACGCGCCTGACGGGCGCTCTCTCTGCTCTGCCACCAAGGGTCCCGCGGGGCCGACATGAGCCCGTCCCACCTGTCACCGTCGCAGGGCGGATCGGCCACGCCAGCCCCCGCCGAGGAGATCTGGGTGCTGCGGAAACCCTTCGCAGGTACGGCGCGGAGCGCCTGGCTCCAGCGGGGCACGGCCGCCCGCGGTGTCCCCTAAGAGCGGGGCTCGGAGCCCTGACAGCCTCTCCTCTGTGCAGGTGGTGACCGCAGCAGCCTGGGCAGCACGGGCAGCGTGGCCTCGGCGCGCAGCTCGGGGAGCGGGCAGAGCGCGGGCAGCGGGGCGCACGCCCTGCACGCCGGCTCCGAGGGCGTCAAGGTAAGGCGAGCCCCGGGGCGGCCGTGCCAGCTGCTGTTGGCTGCAGTCCTGCAGCGTTTGCTGCCTGCCCTGACCCCAGCTGGCGCTTCACCGGGCGCTGTGCGCTCTCATCCATACCCTGTGTGCCACCAGCTACGCCGTCACCGACAGCGGCCACCGGCGTGTCCCCTCCACCCGGCCCCTGAGTGCTGCCCCTGAAAAACATTCCACAGGTCCGTCAGGGACGCTGTGCCATGTCTCTGCTGCCACTCGCAGGGACCTCTGCACTGTGCTCTGCCCTGCCCTGCACAGGCTGCTGCCACGGGCACAGCACACTGCCACCAGCGCACTACTGCCACTGGCATGGCATGCTGCCACTAATGCACAGCTGCCACCAACACGGCACACTGTCACCAATGCATCGCTGCCACCAGCCTGGCACACTGCAACCAGCACCATGCACTGCTGCCACCAGCATGGCACACTGTCACCATGCACTGCTGCTATCACCATGGCACACTGTCACCAGGCACCGCTGCCACCAACATGGCACACTGTCACCATGCACTGCTGCTACCAGCACCGTGCTGCACGCTGCCCTGGCACCTCTGGCACAACAGCCCTGCACTGCCCCTGGACTGTCCCATTCCCTGGCGATGGCACCTGCCAGCCCAGCGACCCCAGCACCCGCCAGCCCACGTCCCCTGGCACCCTGCCTGCCATGCCCACGTGCCCCTGAGCCACAGCACGCTGCCAGCCGGGGGGGCTCCGTCCCGTGGGCACAGGGCACCCCGCACAGGGCAGCCCGGGCTGGGCATGTGCCAGGCTGGCTTTGGGGTGCGGCGGTGCCGTGGGCTCCTGCTGCCGGCAAAGCACCATCTGCTGCTCCCGCTCTCCCCGCTGCCGCCGAAATCTGCTGCAACCCTCCCTGCCCGCCCTCGCCCGAGCTGGCAGCACCCGCAGCACCCGCAGCACCCGCAGCATCCACGGTACCTGCGACACCGCGACACCCGCGACACCCGCGACACGCACCCCCCGGCCCGCGGCCCCCTCCGCCCGCCTCACTCCTGCCTGCTCTCCCCCCTTGCCGGGGTGTTTTTCAGCTGCTGGCAACGGTCCTTTCCCAGAAGGCTTCTGCGCAAGAGTCTGCCGTGGGCGATGGGCCGGCCAAGGCGCAGGACATCCCCGCAGGTGCGTGCTGCGGCCGCCCGGCTGCCGGAGCAGGAGGAGCCCTGGCCGTGCCGTGGATCCAGGGATTTGTCTTTTTTTTTATTGCCACGGCACCCGTCGCCAGAAGAAAAACGTGTGGGTAAAAAATGACTCTCTCGCCTTTCGGCTGCTGCCAGGCCTTCTCCTGCCTCGGTTAGTGGGGGCCCGTGGGGGGCGGGGGGCGGCGGAGCTGAAGATAAAAGAACCGGGGGGCTGCGGGGAGCACGGCCACGCCACCGGGGTGCCCACGCCACGGGAGTGGCACGTGCCCGGGAATCGGGGGGACAGACGGGAGATGCACACGTGGGGGTGGGCGCGGGGGGGATGCCCGGAGCTGGCCGGGCTGCGGGGAGGGAGGAGGCTGCGGGGAGGCAGAGAGCCCTGGGGAGGGGGATGCGCTCAGGGGAGGGGGGTGGACACGCGGGGAGGGGGGTGCAGACGTTGCTAGGGAGAGGGGGAAACATGCCGGAGCGATGCAGACGCAAGTGGGATGCAGACGTGAGGGAGATGCACACGGCAGAGGGAGGCACATGTGAGGAGGATGCCCACGCGAGAGGGATGCGGATGCCCGAAGGATGCACACGCAGGGAGGATGCACGCACACACACACACACGGAAGATGCAGTTGCTGGTGGGGGGGAAGAGGCTTCTCTTGTTCATCCTGATCAGAAACATGCGGGGAAAATTTCAGGGCAGCCCTCCTTACCCTGGAGGGAGGGCACCAAGGGATGAACAGCTCGTACGAGCCTGCCTGGCGGGTGGCAAGGCCAGAGGAGCGGGGCCAGAGGGTTTTGGGCAGAGGGACCCCTCCGGCTGCTGCCTGGGCTCCGGGGACACTGGCTCTGGAGGGCACTCTGGCTGACTCCCACTGCTCGGGGCCGCGCTGGGTGCAGCAGCTCGCCTGCCCCTCCCCGAGGAGCAGCACCCTGTCCGGGGCACCGCGGCTGCTCCGGGCTGCTGTGGGCCGGGTGTCGCTCTCCTGCACCTCCCTTGGCCCCGCCAGCCTGGGGCTGTGGCTGTGGCATCCCGCCCAGGGCAGGGCTCGGCTCTCCCTTCCACCAGAGCCCGGGGCTGGGCAGCCCCGGCCGCGCTGACCGCTGCCCCTCCGGCAGGTTCGTCGCGGTCGCAGAGCGTGGCCAGCTCCCCCTACGCCCCCCAGCCCCCCGCCGAGCCCCAGCTGAAGAAAATGGAGCCGCCGTCAGAGGGGAAGGTGAGCAGAGAGCGCCGGGCGCCGTGGGGAGCGTGTGGTGGGGACAGCTTTGGGGGACATGGGCAGGAGTGGCGGGTCCCCATCCCCAGAGCTGCCCCCGTCCATCTGTCCCTCTCGCCCCAGAGCTCGGAGGCCGTGTACCAGTGGCTCTGCAAGTTCCAGCTGCAGCTCTACGCTCCCAACTTCATCAACGCCGGCTACGACATCACCACCATCAGCCGGATGACGCCGGAGGTGGGGCCGGGGGCGGTGGGAGGGAGGCACGGCAGGAGCAGGGCGGCACTGACCCCCCCTCTCTGCCCCAGGACCTCACGGCCATCGGGGTCACCAAGCCGGGGCACAGGAAGAAGATCGCCTCCGAGATCAACAACCTCAACATCCCCGAGTGGCTGCCCGAGTACAAACCGGTGAGGGCGGTGCAGGGCCAGGGGGACAGAAGCCACACCCATGGTGGCAACCAGTCCCCTCCTGTCTTCCGCGGGGTGGCACTGGACAAGGGTGGGAGCTGGCTCCATGGTCCCAGAGCTGCCCACGTCCCCTCCTGGCAGCTCCCCAGGGAGCATCAGGCTGCTGCCAGCTGTCACCCCTGTGGATGTGGCACTGTGACACCCCTCCTGCCCCAATGCCTGGGCACAGTGAGAGACTTCCATGGGAACAGGGCTGGCAATAGCCAAGGATGCTTGTGGGGCACAAGGATCCTGGGGCTGGGATCCCCCAGCAACACGGGATCTCCTGTGGGTGCCTGGGGTGGCAGGGGCAGACCCTGCTGCCAGCTGGTGCTGAGCCGTGCCCCGCACCCCACCCCAGGCCAACCTGGCGCTGTGGCTCTCCATGATCGGCCTGTCCCAGTACTACAAGGTGCTGGTGGAGAACGGCTACGAGAACATCGACTTCATCACCGACATCACCTGGGAGGACCTGCAGGAGATCGGCATCACCAAGCTGGGTAAGGCCCCGCGCGCGGCGCTGGCTGCGGTGGCCTTGGCGGTGACACTGACGGCACGTGCCGCCCCCAGGCCACCAGAAGAAGCTGATGCTGGCGGTGAAGAAGCTGGCGGAGCTGCAGCGCGCCGAGCTGGGCAAGTACGAGCCGGGCACGCTGAAGAGGAAGGCGTCGGGGCCGAGCCCGGAGGTGCTGGCCATCGAGTCCCCCCCGCCGGAGCCGCCCGAGTGCCAGTCGCCCAAGATGACCACCTTCCAGGACAGCGAGCTCAGCAGCGAGCTGCAGGTGGCCATAACGGGCGAAGGCCCCGAGGAGGCCCCCGAGAAGGCGGCGAACCCCTCGGCCCCCGGTTACCGCTCGCCGCCGGCGCTGGGCGGCCGCGCCCGGCTGATGAGCAGCTCGCAGGAGCTGCTGGGGGACGGCCCGCGGGGCCCCCCCGCCGCCGCCATCTCCAAGAGCCAGGAGTACCTGGCGGAGGGGGCCGGGGAGAGCCCCCCTGCGCCGCCCAAGGAGAGCCGCCCGCCCCGGCACGGCCACCCCGTGAAGCGCGCCAGCGTGCCCCCGGTGCCCGGCAAGCCCCGGCAGCCTTTCCCGGCCTCCGCCGGGCAGCTGACGCCGCCGCAGACCCCCGGCAAGGCACGACCCTCGTCCCCGCAAGGCCCGGCGGCCCCTCACGCCACCGCCAAGGTGAAGCCCACCCCGCAGCTGCTGCCGCCCGGCGAGCGCCCGGCATCGCCCCGCTCCCTGCCCCAGTCGCCCACGCACCGCGGCTTCGCCTACGTGCTGCCGCAGCCCGCCGAGGGCGAGGCGGCGCCGCCGGGGGTGCCCGTCCTGCCCGTCTCGGTGCCCGTGCTGTGCCTGCCGCCGGCGGGCGAGGGCGAGGAGGAGCCGGGCAGGCCGAAGAAGCGGGCGCACAGCCTGAACCGCTACGCCGCCTCCGACAGCGAGCAGGAGCGGGACGAGCTGCTGGTGCCGGACGCGGGGCCCTACGCCACCGTGCAGCGCCGCGTGGGCCGCAGCCACTCGGTGCGGGCACCCGCCGGCGGCGACAAGAACGTCAACCGCAGCCAGTCCTTCGCCGTCCGCCCCAAGAAGAAGGGACCCCCGCCGCCCCCTCCCAAGCGCTCCAGCTCTGCCATCTCCAGCGCCGGCATGGCCGAGGACTTCCCCAAGGAGGGTGAGGGCGAGGCGGCCGTCGGAGCCCCGAGCGCCGAGGGCGAGGGCCGCCGGGAGCAGCGGCGGGCGAGCGACCTGGGCGGCAGCGTGGACACGGGCAGCGCCGGCAGCGTGCGCAGCATCGCGGCCATGCTGGAGATGTCCTCCATCGGCGGCGGGGCCCGCGCCCTGGCGCTGCAGAAGCCGCACGTGGCGACCGGGCCGGGGCCGGTCCCGGCCAAGGCGCCCGAGGGCTACTACCTACAGCCCGGGCCGCCCCCGGGCAGCCCCGACCGCGCCCGCGTGGCCACCGTCCTGGCCACCGTCAAGCATAAGGAGGCCATCGGGCTGGACGGGGAGGTGGTGAACCGGCGCCGGACCATCAGCGGCCCCGTCACCGGGCTGGTGGCAGCCGCCCGCCGCGAGCGCGCCGACAGCGTGCGGTCGGAGGCGGCCGCCGACGGTCCCGGCGAGCGGCTGCGGGTGGAACGCGGCGGCTCCCCCGACGGCATCCCGTTCGCCGAGGACGGCACCCTCACCATCAAGCAGCGGCCGCGGCCCCTGGGGCCGGCCCGCGGGGAGACGGGCGAGGGGCTGTCCCCGGCCCACCGCCACGGGGACCTGGCCAAGGTGGAGGCCAGCGCCACGCTCAAGCGGCGGATCCGGGCCAGGCAGAGCCAGCAGGACGGCGTCCGCTTCGTCCTCACCGAGTCCGACACCGTCAAGCGCCGGCCCAAAGCCAAGGACAAGGAGCCGGCGCTGGAGCCGGCCACGCTCGCCGTGTACCAGAACGGCACCGGCACCGTGAAGCGGCGGCCGGCCTCGGAGCTGAGCGGGGCTGAGCCGCCGCCCCCCCCGCCGCCCGCCGCCCGCCCCGACGGCCCCGAGTTCGTCCCGCCGCCCGCCGAGCCCAAGAAGCCCTTCAAGCCGCCGGTGTCCCCCAAGCCCGTGCTGACGCAGCCGCCTCAGAAGATGCCTGGGCCGCCTGTGCCCGTCCCCAAAAAGGTGCCCATCCCAAGCCCCGGCAGCCCAGGTAGGTGCCCCGCCAGCCCCCCGGGACGGGCGCTCCGCGGGGCGGGCGCCGGGGGTCCCAGCCGGCCCCGCCGCCCTCCTGCCCCTCTCCCTTCTCTCCGCAGAGGTGAAGCGGGTCCATGGCACGCCGCCCCCGGTGTCCCCCAAGCCCACGCCGCCCCCCACGGCGCCCAAGCCCCCCAAGCCCCACGCCGCCATCCAGTCGGTGAGCGCCAGCTCCACGCCGGCCCCGTCGCCAGCCCGGCAGCTGAGCCCCGCGGCCAAGCCCTCCAGCACGCCGCCCTCGCTCTGCTCCAGCCCCGCCAAGCCCCTGTCGCCCGGCGCGCAGCCCCAGCAGGTGCCGGTGAAGCCGCCCCGCTCCACCATCGCCAGCCCGTCCGTGGACAGTGGCGGCCCCGAGCTGGCGCAGCAGAAGCTGGAGGAGACGAGCGCGTCCCTGGCCGCCGCGCTGCAGGCGGTGGAGGAGAAGATCAAGCAGGAGGACAGTCAGGCGGCAGAGTAAGGGGCTGCAGGGGTGGGTGGTGGGCCCCGGGAGGGTGTGAGGCCACTCGGTGTCCCCGAGCACAGGAGGCCAAAAGGATCGTGCACAGGGGTCAGGCTGTGACACCACGGTGCGAGTGGGGAGGTGCTGGGGGACACTGGTGGGGCACAGATGGCCATAAGGACCATGCACAGGGGTCAGGCTGTGACACTAAATGACATCTTGCTGGAGCAGCATGGGCAGGGGGACTCGGGCATGTGGGTGCCCTGGGGACTGTTTTGCAGAGGGGACACTGGGGACATGGAGCTAGAACATTGTGCCATGGCACTGGGGACACAGTGCTGGGCACCGCAGCGCAAAGGGGCAGGAGTGCCATGCCATGGGGCCCAGGGGGCTGTGCCATGTCCCCGTCCCTGCCTGCCCTGACCCGTCTCTGTCACTCCCCAGCTCGGCCGTGGAGTCGAAGAGCACCGTGAGCATCCTGGACGACATCGGCAGCATGTTCGACGACCTGGCGGACCAGCTGGATGCCATGCTGGAGTGAGGGGCGCCAGGGCCCCGAGAACCTCAGGGCTTACGTGGGCACAAGGGCACAACGATCCACGACCCCCCGGCCCCGCCGCCCTCCCCCCGTCCCCTTTGTACAGCCGTCCCCTCCCGGACATCCCGTCCCTCGGGGTTTGCACAAAGAAGAAGATACCTCAGGATTGTGCTCACGGACTCGGCGCCGGCTCCGGCAGGACTCCCTTTCGCAGAAGCAAAAAAAAAAAAACAAAAAACCAACAAAAACCACAGAAATAAAACCCAACAGAAGAAACAAAGCAACACGCTCCGGACCGAAGCGCGGCCGGGGCTCCGGGGGGCTCCCGAGTGACCCGTCCGGTGGCTGCCCGTGCCCTGCCAGCCGCGGGTCACCGCCACCCGAATGTAGCACAAGCCCTGCCCGGCGCGGTGGCTCCGCCAGCCGCGTGTCACCCATGCCGTTTGCTGGTGGCGGGGCCGGGCGGGCAAATGCACTTGGGTTTCTTTGCTCCGTTTTTAATTTTGATTTTTAAACTTTGTTTTCTTTCTCGGTCGGCGTTGGCAGGGGTGGGCAAGGCTGGCGGTGGCCCTGGGGGCAGCGGGACGTGCCCCTGCCCGGCCCCTCCCCGCCTGGGGACAGGACGGTGATAAGCTATAAAATAAAAGTATTAATTTATTGGAGGGGAAAAAAAATAAAAAAAAAAAAAGATATAAAGCAGATTTCCCCCAACCCCAAAATAATAAAAAAGAAATAAACTTTAACAAATATATATTTAAAAGATTTAAAAATATTAGCAATTATATATAAAGCAGTTTAAAAGAAATCAAGAGAAAACTGGATTTTAGCTTGAGAAAAACTATTAGATTATACTAAGCTGTGTGTCTTGTGGCAAACTCATTCTAAGAGTAGCACAATATTTACCTTTTCTCTGGGTGGAAGGTACGTGCGAGCGGTTCTGGTCGGGTTTTCCGTTGGGATTCAGTGTCGCGTCTTTCTTTTTCCGCCGTTACGAACTCAAAGGATGTGCCTTGTTTTATGGAGGTTTTTGTTAATCCCTACACTGGAGGCGTTTCATTTCTTTTGGAGTGTCTTCGGGGTTTGGTTTGGTTTCTTCTTGTTGTTTTTGTTGTCGGTCTCTGTCTGGGTGCGTGTGGTGTGCGTGGGTGTGCACGCGTGTGCCCGGCGTGTCCCGCGGGACGCGCCGCTGTAAATTCCTGTACAAACTGGAGTTGGAGTCTGGTTCTGTCGCTTGAGTCCTGATGAATGCATTTTTTGCTTGTGGTTTCCAAACAAAAGTGTTGCTGTTCCTTTCTTTCTCTCGAGATGTGGAGTGGTCTCTCCCTCCTTCCCTCTCCCTCCCTGCCCTGTCTCCCCCCCCCGTCTCTCCTGTTGTGGTCGCTGATCCAGATGTGTTTGGCACAACTTTGAAATTTCTTTTGGAAAAAAAAAAACAACAAAACACAAAAAAAAAAATCTTTAAAAATAATTTAAAAAAATAAATAAATCACCCGCCTGAAAATATCTGTTGAAAAGAAAAAAAAAATGTATCTAAAAAAAAAAAAAATCCATAAAGTTCTACATGATGGATATATACATATATATATTTTTTATGATTAAGTTATGGACTCTGTATCGTATCCCATCTGTCCAGCTCTGCATCTTGGTGCTGCTCCCTGCTCTTCTGTGCTTAGATTTCACCTCTACTCGTCTTTATTCTTCCTATTCTGAATTGTAGATGGCTCGTGGTGCTGTGAAGACGTTTGCTCCTATACCAAGTCTGGCAACAAATATTTAAACAAAAATAAAAAAATAAAACCCCTGCCGGGCTGCCACCACTGTTTGTGTCCCCAAGCCCTCCCGAGTCCTCGTGGCGTGCTGGGTGTTTGTGCTGCACAGTCCATGGGCACCCCTGGGTGCCTCTGTGGGGTGCTGGGGCCTGGCTGGGACTGTCCCCCGTGGAATGTAGGGCCCAGACACTTCAATTTTCACCCCACGGGGCCAGTGCTGGCTGCTGGCTCCCTGCAATAACTCACACCGGGCAGGAACAACTCTTTCTGCTTTTATTGTCAATGAAGAAATAATCAAATCTATATTACAATCTTAAAAACAGTAGAAAATGTGAGTAAAAATGCAACGGAGGCTTTTTGTCTTTAATGTGGAGACCATTATTACAGGGTGGTGAACAATGGGCTTGTGGAACTCGATTTGAGAACTAGCTGTGGCATAAAAATCGTACCTGGCTACTCAAGGAAACACCTCTTCCCACATGGATCGGCCTTGGCAGTAAAATTAAATACTAGAGACAGAAAGGGGTCGGGTGCCCACCCAGGGTCAGTCCTGCCACGGACAGGGGCCCAGCCTGTCCCCACCAGGACACACGGATCTGTCCATCCTGGCGCTGGCCAAGGGCTGTGCTGGCCTGGCCCCGAGGCCCAGTGTCACCCCAGCTGGGGGGACACAGGCAGAGGAGGGCACTGGCACTGGAACAGCTTCCCCTTTTCCAATCATCTGGGGCAGAGCTGAGGGAACACCTGGAGTGTCCGTGGGGCAGAGCCGTCCGGAGAGCCGCCGGCCGAGGGGCAGCAGCAGCAGGCAGTGCTTGGTGCAGGAGGAGCTGCAGCAGTTGTTTCAGTGGTGTGGTCACCCACAGGCCGATGGAGGGGAGAGTTTTTGGTCTTTCAGTGTGCAGGACTCGTGTGACGCTCTCGTTAGCACGTCCAGACCTGCGGGCAGACGATGGCATGGCAGGCAGTGACTCCTGAGCAGCTCTGTGGGCCTCTCCTCATCCCCCACAGAGTTTCCCTCAGCACTGCCAGCATCCACAACACTGTCAGGAGGAAAACCTCCCGCCCGTGGAGAACCATCCCCTTGTTTCAAAGAATCCCAGAATCGTTAAGGTTGGAAACGACCTCCAAGATCATCAAATCCAACCTGTGACTGATCCCTACCTTGTCACCCAGCCCAGAGCACTGAGTGCCACTGAGTGCCAGTCATTTCCTGGACACCTCCAGGGATGAGGACTTCACCACCTCCCTGGACAGGCCCTTTCTTAGCAACCCTTTCCATGAAAAAATTCTTCCTTATGTCCAACCTGAACCTCCCCTGGCCCAGTTTGAGGTTATGTCCCCTTGTCTGCTCACTTGTTCCCTGGGAGCAGAGCTCCACCCTCACCTTGCTCCACCCTCCTGTCACTTTGACTCCCAACTCATTTAATGCCCTGACTCCAGCACTGGACAGGCCCAAACCGTGCAGGAGAAGGCTGAGCAGACCCACCTTTACAGTGCTGTCCACGGCGCCGGAGAAGAGGCGGCCGCGGGACACGGCCAGGGCGGTGACGCTGCCCTGGTGGCGCAGCAGGGTCTGGGTGCAGATCATGTTGTCCATGCTCCACACCTGCGGGGACACGGGCAGAGTGAGCCGAGCACAGCCCGGAGCACCGGGGATGCCGCACGGCACGGGTGACACGGGTGACACGCGGAGGTCCCTGGGGTCCCCCGCGGCTCCCGGGCCGTGCCAGGCTCCGGGTGCGGCCCCGCGCTCACCCTGAGCGAGCGGTCGTAGGACGCGCTGAAGACTTTGGTTTGATCGGGCGTGGAGATGACGGCGAGGGCGTAGACTGTCCCCACGTGCCCGGTCAGCGTGCGCACCTGCTCCTTGGTCTCGATGTCCCACACCTGTGGGGACAGCCAGGCTTGGGTATCACACTGTGCTGAGGCCACCCAGCTCCGCTCTGAGAGCGGCTCCTGCCCCCACGCACTGTGCCAGGTGGGTGCTGTGCCCGAGGGACAGGCAGAGCCAGGTGCTGTGCTCCAGGGGACAGCCAGAGCCAGGTGCTGTGCCCAAGGGACAGCCAGACTGAGGTGCTGTGCCCGAGGGACAGGCAGAGCCAGATGCTGTGCCTGAAGGACAGCCAGAGCCGGGTGCTGTGCCCGAGGGACAGGCAGAGCCAGGTGCTGTGCCCAAGGGACAGCCAGACTGAGGTGCTGTGCTCCAGGGGACAGGCAGAGCCAGGTGCTGTGCCCGAGGGACAGGCAGAGGCAGGTGCCACCCCCCCAGCCCTGCCCACCCCCAAGGGCAGAGCCCAGCCCGTACGTGGATGAGGTTCTCGTAGGTGCCGCACACGATGTGGTGGTTGGTCACGGCGATGGAGTACACGCTGCCTCCCGACGTCTGCAGCACGTGCACACACTCCAGGTTCCGGATGTCCCAGATCTGAGAGGGATCGAGCAGAGGCAGGATGAGACCCTTCTCCACAGGGGAGACCCCTTGCAGCCATTCTGCCACGCACAGAGTCAGCCTGGCTCCCCGTGTGCCCGTGTCACACCTTCAGGGACAAACCTATCCAGCTGGGAATGCTCAGCACTGAAGAGCAAATCCCTGTTATCTCATTTAGCTGCCCAACTTTAAATATCCAGGCTGGGAACATTGTGTGGAGACTTCACACCCTTTGTGTGTGACTGCACACATGTGCACACACAGCCCAGTCCTTGACAGCACTAAAAGCCAACGCAGACAAATTAACAGAGATTCATTAACACTGAGAAGGGCAACTTCCAATTTTCCTGTGTCCCCCAGATGCTGAGAGGTGACCTATTCATCAGAACCTGAGGCAGCACAGAGGAGGGGAACCCTGACACGGATTTATGGTAGCTCTGCAGCCAGCCAGTGACCTTGCCCTGTTATCAGCAGGAGTGTCAGTGCAGATAAGGCTGTGGCAGCCTCGAGGCGCCATGGCTGAGGCCCCAGTTTGTCCCAGAGAGCCTCCCCAGCAGCTCCCGAGGCCCAGCCTGAGGAGATGGAATCAGCACAGGAAAAGCCCTTGTGTCAGCAGTGCTCTCACATCCCAGCAGAGCACAGAGAGGAACAGGGAGAGGGGGCTCAGGCTGCCACCAGTGCCAGGGTCCCACCTTGATGGTCTGGTAAGATCCACTGTAGAGATAATTCTGGGAAGCCACCAGTGCTCGAACCCAGTGGTTGAGACCTGTCAGCTCCTTCTTCAGCTTGAGCTCAGTGCCCACAATATCCCACACCTGTGGAAAGCAGGGACACACACAGGGGGAGGAGGCTCAGTGGGGCTGGGCAGGGTGGACAGCAGTGCCCACCCTCCCTGCCTGAGGCCCTCACAGCTCTTGAGGGGATCCTTGTGCCAGCTCT